AAAGTAACGATAGTGAAGATTAAGATAATTACATTATAGCTAATCTTACCCGTTTTCACAAAATGCAAGAATTAAGTCCCCCGTTTCCAGACTAATTAGAGAATTTTTACGTTTAGTCAAACGAACTATTTTCAATGTTTCTGGAACGTTTACAATCGTTCTATAATCGAACCAATATTCGAATTTCTATGGCTTTCTGTTTCAAATGTTTTGTTAGAATTAAATTCGAACAAAACATTCAAAATAGAAAGCCACTTTCAACCTCATATCTCCCGCACCCTTATAGCTATCGAGACACAACCACCCCAATGCACGAATGGAGACTTGGGGCTACTACCACATACAAACACCATTCATGTGCGATGTGTAGTTTTTGCAGAAAAGTGAAATGTAGGGACACAAACGTCCATTTATATATATATATATAAATGATATTCATGTTTTAATTTATTATTGGGGCATTTATTTGCAATATTTTTACCTTAAATTATGTGTATTTGCTATGTAATTATGTGTTATGTGTTTAAGTTTATTGAAATGGACATTGTTTAGTGTGTGAGAATGTATCAATTCACTTTCCATTATTGGGCTACAATTTGAAAAATTGTAGACCTATAAATTCCCACTGTTGTCCGTCTGTCTGTTTTGCCTTAATCTTAAGAACAATGTTAGATAGATGAGAGTTAACACCAGATACGGAAAGCTTAGGGGCAGGAGGCCCAGATTAACTATATATGAACTTCCACTTTGGTCTAGAAGTAATATTATTTCAATTCAAAAATTTTCTCCCGAACAGAGTCAGATACATAACCAGCATGACTTCATTGATAACAAGAAAGATATGATGTACAGACGCAAGACACTACTAAACTTAAGTACATTGTGACAAAAAATTGCAGCCTGGCATTGTGATTATGTCGCAATAAATAATTGTTTGGTTTCTAATAGAAAAAATTGATTTGGACTTCAAATGATTGGAAGTTTGAGGCACCACTGTACTTCATCCAGAGTTTTTTAATGTAAAGAAAACAGTTTAAGGGCATTTCTTTATTCAGAACTTTCCTGATAATGATTAATTTCTTCTAAATCATCAATATTTAATTGATATTTTGAGAGCATTTATAATATGTCAAATTGAATTTTTAATTATTTCTAAATTTTTTTCAGATTTACTTAACATTTAAAAGAAAAAAATTACCCAACGCTTACCTTATTTTGGCTGTTGTCAAAACTAAAACTTTTGTTTTGAGCGTTGTTGCTGGAATTGAATGAATTTTCCTGTAAGAAAAATTAATTTTAGTACACGACTCTGCAAATGAAAAAATATTTGCTTCAATGGCATATTAAATAAAACAGAAAACCAAAGTACCATATTCTAGCACTTCCTGATTTGCATCAATCAGGATTGCTTAGATTATAGAACTTCATTATTAATAATTTTCTAAGATATTACAACAGTAATGACATTCTATCCTGCTCTATGGACTTATTTGTACTTTCAGTATGGTAATAAACACAAAACTGGCAAGTGGCAAAGCATCGATGGTACTTATGCTTGCAGTAAGCGAATGAGCAGAGAGATCATTTGTCATACAGTTGGCAGTGGCAGGTATGCGCACAGTACGAATATGCTCAATCTACTAATCTCGTTTTGCAGTTGAACACTGAAGCTAAGTTCATATTAGCATACAAACCACTACGAAGTGGATACGAACTGTCAATTTGTCCCCTTTTGGTGTCAATCAGTTTGTTAGGAATTGAGAAATCTCGACTTTTGCAGAACTTCATTTCATTCGACCAATAAACTTTTCATAACTAATGTTCGGAACCTTTTAAACCAATCACATCCTAACTTAGTTTGCGTTACACAGTATGACATGGACAATATTTTGTTTCATTTGTTAGTACTGGTTCATATGACAAAGTGATCTGCAAGCATTCATTTACTCGTACACTCCGCACTAGAAGTATAAACGACTACAACAGAAATACATTGACTAAGCATTGAGTAATTTCCTCGCTCAACGCTGGAAGTATAACTAAACAAGCGCTAAGAATTCATGAAGATAAATATTATCAACGAGCACTGTAACTTGCTATTCTATTTTATCTTACTGTTAAAGCAAATATTTTTTAGTTCATTTTAAAATATTACGTTTGAAAATAAACATAACTTACATTCTTTCTTTGATTAAATGATCTATTGGAATTGTTAAAACTTCCTGAATTATTAAAAGTTGGAGTACCAAACTGAAAAGAAAAAGCATATTAAAAAAATTATCATAATCTCCAATTATTACTCTATCGTTAAACAAGTTAAAAATTTTACCGATTTCTCAAACTTTTTCCTCTTTCCTTTATTAGATTTAGCCTCGGACTGATTGTCTGTTTTCGCAACGGGTGTGATAAACAGCTCGCTCTCAGTTTCCTTATCTGACAATTCAAAAGCTCCCGTTTTGGTCTTCTGAATGGCATTGGGGGTACTGTACTTCACAGTTTGAGTCTTTTTTTCAGTTTCCGAGTCAGACTCCGATGAATTATCAGAACTGCTACCTTTTCTTGCTTCTTTGGATACATTTTTATTAACATCTTTTTGTACGGAATTTGTTGTTGATTTAGTCTGACTTATTGATTTGTTTGCCAATTCGTCCTCTGAATTGGATGAAGAATCAGAGTCCGAATCTTGTGTAGCTTTAACAAATGGTTGCCTAACTATAGGAGTTTTTAATGCAGAAGTTTTTTGTTTTGTTGTTTTTGAATCTGAATCAGAACTATCACTGCTTGACTGTGACTTCTTGGGTTGCTGTGTTGTATTGCTCACAGGTTTCGACCTCGGAGTTACATTCTTCACTTGCGGTTCGTCGTCAGAGTCTGAACTATCACTTTCACTAGAGGATTTTGAAGTTTTCCGAGACACAACCACGGAGTTATTCTTTATTGGGGATTTTGCATTATTCGTGGTAACGCTTGCAGCTTTTGCCGGAGGTTTGTCTTCAGAATCTGAACTGGAACTATCGCTAGATGCATTTGGTTTTTTCTGCAATGTAACTTTAAAATTATTTTTCAGTGGAGATTTTACATTGACATTAGAAGGTTTTGCGTTATTTACACTAGCGTTTGCGGGATTGGTTTGAGGTTCGTCATCTGAATCAGAACTTGAACTATCACTAGAATCATTTGGCTTTTTCTTTACCGACGGAGTAACCAAATTACTTTTAACTGGAGATTTTACATTATTTAATATAGGTTTTGCATTGTTTATGCTAACATTTGCAATTTTTTTTGGAGGTTCTTTGTCTGAATCAGAACTCGAGCTATCACTAGAGGAATCTGACTTTCCCTTTAACATCTTCGGATGTGTTATCTGCTTTGGAGGCGATTTCTTCACTATTGGAGTTACTGTTTTACTTTTCGGTTCATCCGAATCAGAACTTGAACTATCACTAGACGATTTTGATTGTTTTTGTGAATTTGATTTTACTTGTTTTCCTCCTGCAGTTTTGGATGCTGAATCTGTAACACCGAGTGATTTATTTAATAAAGTTTTTTTTATATTAACCTTTGGTTTATCGTCATCTGAAGAATCATCTGATGATGAATCTGAACTACTTTTTGCTGGGGTCTTTATAACATTAGTATTGACAGGTTTCTTTACAGCAGGAGTTGAAACTGACTGTTGTTTGCTCTTCTTGGAATCAGAATCAGATGAATCTGAGGAATCGGAACTAGATTCTTTTTTTGCAACGGTAGCTTTTATTGGCACTTTAAGAGCAGCTGGTACTTTCTTAGACGGTTCATCGGAATCTGAAGAACTATCGGACGAATCCTTTTTAGTCTGTTTTGTTGCTGTAGCTGCTTGTAATGGTTTCTGTTGTAATTTCTTCTGATCTTCTTCATCAGATGATGAATCAGAACTGCTATCTGCAGGAGCTTTCTTAAGATCTAATTTTGTCTTTTTCAAAGGCGATTTACTGGCAACTGTAGGAGATTGAATTCTTTTCAAGTTAGGAGAACTAACAGATTTGTTCTTAGTTAACTCATCTGAGCTCGAATCATCTGAACTAGAATCCGAGCTTTTTTGTGTTTTAGCTTTTGACATAACCGTAGTTTTAGTAGTTAAATTTGGTAAGGGCGTCTGTGTTTTAATGGGTAAATTTGCATCATCATCATCATCAGAACTAGAATCAGAACTTTCTTTCTTAGTCACAGGTTTTGAAGCAACATTTAGAGTTTTAGCGATGGGAACAGATGCTTTAACAGAGATGCCAATCTTCTTGTTTTTGTCTTCGTCGGAATCACTATCACTTGAACTAGAATCTGAACTTTCCTTTTTAGACACAGTTTTTGGAGCAATTGGCCCCTTAACAACTGGAGTTTTATCAGGTAAACTCGCCTTCTTTTTTGTATCATTGTCAGAATCACTATCGCTTGAACTAGAATCTGAACTTTCCTTTTTAGATACAGTTTTTGGAGCAATTGGCTTCTTAACAACTGGAGTTTTAACAGATAAGCTAGCCTTCTTTTTCACATCATCATCAGAATCACTATCACTTGAACTAGAATCTGAACTTTCCTTTTTGGATGCAATTTTTGAAGTAACTAGTGCCTTGCTAGTCAAATTAGGAACAGATGCTTTAGCAGGTAAACTAATCTTCTTTTTTGTATCTTCATCAGTACTACTATCACTACTATCGCTTGAACTATCCTTTTTAGCTACAGATTTTACTACTTTTGTCGATAACTGTACCGGTTGCTTAGCGACAGTTTTATTTAAATTAGGTTTCTCATCTTCGGAAGAGGAACTATCGGAACTACTTTCCTTCCTCTTACTTGCAATGGGAACTGGCTTTTTGGGAAATTGGGGCACTTTCTTTTCTGCTTCAGATTCGGAACTGCTGTCATCAGAAGAATTGTCTTTGTCTGCCTTTTTTGGGACTGGTTTTGCATTAGCAATTAATGGTTTTGCAGATAGTAGTTGTTTCTTGGAAGCTTTATCGTCGTCTGAACTACTCGAATCGGATTCTGAATCCGAAGAACCAGACTGTGTTTTAACGGGAGCTTTAGTCGGGGCCTTAGATAGCTTGTTAGGCACTCTCTGAGGTATATTGGGTTTGGTAGCAGCTTGATTAGTATCTGAATCTGAACTAGAATCTGAGCTATCACTTTGTTTTTTGGTTATGGCATTTGATTTAGATGAAATCTGTTTAATAGGTAAAGTCTTTTTTAAAGGTGTAGTAGCAGGTATCTTTTTCTTGTTTTCATCCTCTGACGAACTATCAGAAGACGACGACGACGACTTCTTAGCATTTGACTTTTGTATTCCATTTTGTTTGGTAGGAGGCTGTTCATCGTCACTCGAATCGGCTAAAAGAATTTCAGATGCATTAATTTAATTTGAATTATTTTTGTTATAAAAATAAAAACTTATTCAAATATATTTTAACAAAATTTAATCATTAAGTTCTTCCTTCATTTATGAATTAACTTTGTGTAAATGTATAAGGAAGCCTTATATAACAAAATGAATAATAGTGGAAAGAAGGAATGTAAATTTTAAAATCACAACCATTTGTACTGCCATTTTCTTTAATATACCTAGGGCATGGGCAGTGTAAAATGAGTTCAGAACATTATTGGGATGGTCCTGTCAATGCACATTAGAGAATGCGATTACTATATTGTTCTATGCTCTTTGCTATTCTTATCTATTTCTTTCTGTAGCCACGTATTAATTTAAAGCATCTGCTTTATTTCATAGTAATATTGCTTGAAAATAATAATAAATTGACAAAATAATTATATAATGTTTTAACAATAAAATGTACAAACATTATACAGTTCAAGTTGTTAAAAAAAGTGAAGGAGTCACTATTTAATATACAATGAAATGCTTTATGAAACTTGTCTCTCAGCATCAAATCTTACAAAACTATTTTTAATTCAAATATAAACATTGCACCTGTATATGAATGCTTTTAATCCCTTCTTTGGGTTCAAATGGCTTTCAAATGCTAGTGTGATGTTATGTTTGAATTAAAAGGAGTCGTGTAAGATCTCATCCCAAGAGATAAAAGATGCTTAGCCCTACACGTCTCACACTAGTCGATATTGGAGCAAACCGATCGGATGCAATGCTATATTAGATTTGTATGATCGTCACACGATCAACAATTCGACATCATTTTATGCTGCACTCTGACTCTTAGATCCACCACAGATTTTGTATGATGATTGTGAGCAATGAAATATTTATGCCATTTATTTCAGCTACAGACTGCACTTTTTAAGCCAGAAAATTTCTTTACTGATTATCATACATAGAATTATATCATGATTATTTAATTAAATTACTGAAACTATAAATACCACTACAGATATTTTATACATCGCTTATTAATTAAACCACTGCAGAAAAAACAAGCAATGTATAAAATAAGCACGATGTTACAGCATGAAGCTTATAAGCAACACAATCATAATTGCTGATTTTCATCATTTTGTAAACTAACTCTTCCAGAGTGATAGTTCACAGATAAAACAAAGGAAACGTTCATTGGTTGTTTAGATACATGTTGGGAGTGATATCATGAACCACAACACAGTGAAATCGTCAAAGGAAAATAGTCACGTGACTAACAAATCTCATCCTACATCACATCAAAGCCAACGGTATTAATTTGCACTGGGCTCAAGTCTCAAAAAGCATTTCATCTTGTATTAAATATTGACGTGTTCACTTCCTTAGTGCTTGGCTTGTTTTGTGATAATTACAAAAACAAGATTAGATTGCTTTAAGAGATTTGTTATATTTAATATAACTTGGATCATACAATAAGTAACGTCATAAGAGTTCATAGTAACGAAGAATATAAAAAGTCATATAAGCAACTCAAGTAACATTTAATTTATCAAAACTTGTTTATTTTAACCAGAAAGTACTTACAATCTGACGAACTACTATCTTTCTTTGCTCGCTTTGCCGGCCTACCCATCAGTGCATTACTCGGCAAACTCGGAAGTGGACGTTTCACTGCTTGAAACGAATTTCTGTTTAAAAAATAATATTCTGTTAGTTTCTCGAAATGAAAAATAATCTTTTAGCATACGAATACTTACTTGAACCCATCGTAAACTTCTAGAATGTTAGGTGAGTTTGGAGGCAAAGGTTTCTATAAAAGAAAATAACTCGTTTTTATTGAAAGTATCAAGTTTAATTTTTTAATATAAATCTGCCAAATTTTCAGTTTGGTGATGAAAGGGAGAGAAGGAAGGTGTTTGTGTGTTGTAGTGCAATATATAAACGTATACAACATTACGCTGCCCTCACACACATGAAACATTAAGTTAAAAAGCAGACTTCTAATTGAAATGTGAAATAATGTAATTAAGGCTTTTTCTAAAAATTACTAGTAGTATGCATAATTGATGACTAACATGGTACTGTTTTTATTGAGCAACTGCCAAATACTTCGTACCAGCTACTGATACTTTTTCATGCTACTTTCTGGTACAACTGGTTCTGGCTGAAAAATAAAATATTTTTGCTACAAGATGTAAAAGTTTAAACTCTGTACCTCATACACTTATAAAGTATATCTAATATGTTGATTAATAGAAACAAGCAATTACTTATTGTGACATCTTCACAATGTCAATCTGCAATTTTTAATCATTCATATTAAGCTTCAAAGAGGGTGAACAAAATCATGCCCTCCCATACGCACACTAATGTGACCTAAGGTTCGGCATCTCTTTAGTGCCCTGTCAGGATTGACACCACCATGTTTCATGGAACACGGAAGCCAAGACAGTGGTTATAAACGCCGCACGGTCATGCGAGCAGCTCCGTAAGCGGACAAGCAGATTCGTAATGTCAACCGATCGAGAGACAGCATTTGGAAGTGACTCAGACTCCAATTAACAATTAATAATGATTTAATCAAAAAATAATAAAAAAATGGAGAAGATACAGAATTTCCAGATTTTTTCACGGAGGGAGAGAGTTTACATAACGGGCACGAGTTGAATAAATACCTTGTGGTGGAAGTGGATATCCTGATGGAGATCTTGTTGATTGATGCAGCTTGTTCACTTGATGATCCATTCGAAACTAGTATCCAATAGAAGTCAACTGGCACATTGTCAGGTGATATCAAAATAAAGTGTATCCAGATAGTCACTGATCTTTGGAGGGATTCATTTCTCTCTAGTCAACGATATTCCAAAAGGGATTGGTTATGACTTTCCCAATCAAAGGGACCGACGACGACTGGCTTTTCTCGGCCGTCCAGAGGTTAATAGATCACGAGAAAGCATTGGGTTGCCTTCGAGAAAACGTAACAGGAGACTTTCTCAGGTAGCTATGAACAATTGCTACCTAACTCGGACAATATTAATATTAAGGCCTAATTTTGATATAGGAAGTTCAGCTACATTACATTAACATCCATACATAAAAAAAACCCCCTGCATTTTTTGCATTTCTCAATATTCCAAGTCCAAAAATGTAAAAATCTTTGTGGGCCAGTCGTCATACTTTCCCTCTGTTATATATAGCAGAGCCCAGGAAAGTAATAAGGATCACAAATCCTCTTGGCAAAATCAAATTTACAGTTCATAGCTTCTGAGGAACGCAACTCTTCTAAGCACAAACGTTTCCCACCATAAATATTCTCAATATATCAGTTAAAATGTATTTGCAAAGAATTGAAATACAACTTTAAAGTTTTATAATGGTCTTTTCTGTGTTAACTAGCTTAGAAGCCAGTGTTAATAGTTACTTCTTCACTCGTTTAAGTAACAGCCTAATAATTTGATTACAAATACCAAAATCAAGTCACACACAGCTGAAAATGGAATAAAGTGATATACAAAAGTTTTAAGTATTCCAAATATTCATTAGCCCAACGCTCAAACAGCTGAAGATTTAAAGCCAAGTTATTTTCCGACAATAGCTGTGTTAATTAATCATTCACTAACTACAATATTTTGGCATGTAATTGTGCCAAACTGCTCAGCTTCCTCAATAGAAAATCCCTTAAGCAGTGGTCACACCTGTCAATTTCCAGCCGTGCAGGCAACAGCAACTGTAAGAAATGCGAGTCGCGTGTCCTGTCATGGTCACATTTGTTTGCTGGCATTGCAACTCGTAAACAAGTGACCTCATAATAAACCAATAAAATTACAGCAGCTCATTTTTGACTACTTTTGTGAGTTTACTGACAGTTTACATTTACTTCATAGTATTTACAGAATTTTAGCTACTTTCCTTATTAAAATGGCAAGCAGTTCCTTTTCTGTAATGAATAAAAGGTGATCATTTTGTTAGAGATGGTGCGAATACATGAAGAGATAAAGTCTTCAATAAAATGAAAAATTAAAATACCACAGACATTTGCGAGCCTGAATAAGCTCGATCAATCTCGATTCTGTAAAAGTATCAATCCTCTTACTATCCACCATGATGACGAACTATTGGGTTGTTCAGAAAGCAATTTCGTTTTTTTTTTTACCACTAGATGGATTAGTCGTATTTTTCCTGCCATTTTCATTCTAAACCGTATTATCTAAATATATAAAATTGCTTGTCCTGACTGACTCACTCATTCATTCACTGATTCATCATCGCCCAGAGCAAACCGCTTAACCTAAAGAGGTGAAATTTGGTACACAGTTAGGGTACGTCATGGAAACGCACACTAAGAAAGGATTTTTCGAAATTCCAACGCGGGGGGGTGAGNTTGACCAAAATGGTCGATATATAATTCAATAAAATATTTATTTATTATAAAAATATTGTTTTTTTTTTTTTCCACGGAAAGAACAAAATTACTTTCCGAACAACCCAATATTTTCAATGTTGCCATTGTATGATGTGGCACTAAGGCATTTGCTGATTAGAAGCTTGTTTGAAATCGATGTGAGCAGAACTAACTTTTTGTTTCTAGTTGCAGTTGCGCTGGTTTTCGAAGGGGTTTACTAGTTAAAGAGAACAGCCATCATGGCTGGAAATCGCAAAACGTGACCATGGTTTTAAGTGGCAGAAACAGGGATCTAATCTGATTGAAGGGCACATTACTTCAGTGCAATTACATGGCAAAATACTGGAGTTAGTGCACTTGGTGACATATTCCTTGTATTAGTAAATTTTCGTCTGATGGAGAGTTATTTTTCAATACCTTGTTTTCCTCATTAATTAATTGTGCACGTGTCTTCACAAAATGACATTATCTAAGGTTTATTATTATACTGAAAGCAGAATTAATCATTTACTATCTAATATAATAATATATACCAAGTTTAACAGTTTATCAAGACATTTTACATTCTAACTCAGTTAGCATTAGTATAACGCGGATAGCATTTCTCTTTGTTATTGTTCATTTTTAGTTGTTTTTAAGACAGCGTGAACCTAGTTTGTTGATACAAAAAAATCAGGAAAATAATGACAGACTGTAGAATTGATAAGAAGTTATTTAATAATTTATTAAAAATGATGATACCATAGCAAAATGAAGCCAAAGAAATAAAAATACCATTTACTTTTATTGCAGAGACTTCAGGGATGATACAAAACTCTTAAAGAAATGACTTAAGCCATTTATAATTTTCTCATTGTCTTGTGAACTAACATGTTATGAGATGTGAATCTAATTATCTTTCATAGGTTTTGCTCCATTTTATTTTCAATTGTACAGTAAAACATCAGAAATACAGAGTAATTGGGGCCAGACCCCCATCTGGATTTTCAAATATACTGTACTTATAAATTAGCATTTTAAATACTGTAAACTCCAACATACCATAATTCAAGTTCAAGTACTCTCAGTTCAAACTAGTATTTCACAAGGAATGTAGAAACACTTACAAAAATTCAATAAATAATTTATGAAATCACCATATTTAAAGAAAAAAATACACTAATAAAGAAAAAATTATGAATTTGGAATGAATGTTAAAATGTATATAAACATTTAATCCATTAATCTGACTTTCAACTAAAGCCAAACAAAGATTACTGACTCTTTTATGGCTAATTTTAATAATTAATTATATTTGCCTTGTGGCAAAGTGGTTCCATTCCCGAACATTGGGAGTTTGGTCGTGGGTTCACACCTCACCAGGATGGGCTGGCCACGTGGAGTTTTCCGGGTTTTCTCCACATCTTTAACGCGTTAATAGGGGCCAGTTACCCTTAAAAAGACCCTCCTACGTAGATCACCCAAGTGTTGGATTGCTGTAACTTAACAAAACAAACAATTTGCCTAGAGGTTGGCTGTTAGGCTGTCATCTCTTGATAAATTTAATATTAATTTATTAAATTTATCAAGAGATGACAGCCTAACAGCCAACCTCTACACAAAGTACTTTATAATTAATTAAAATTAACCTTAATATGGTAAAGAGGGATACCTGTTGTCCAGAGTTCATCTTGAACATTAAAAGTAGAAAATAATATTGGACTTCATGCCGAACATTGGATAAGTAAAGTTGAGAAAATTATCATCTAGGCGTTAACAACCTACAACTATCACTACAAACAACTAGTGCTTTGACATTCTGGCCATAGATGTAAAATTCAATTCCAGAGACATTCCAAAATACCCAAATAATATCCTCCAGTAACATTCTGACCATTTGGGATAAATTCTTTATGCACCATAGCTTGGAAACCATAAAAACAAACGAGCATGGTCTTGACCTGTGATTTTTGGAAACAAAGTTTTTTTTGGTGTAGGCTTGCCTGATGATTTCCATATGAAACTTTGATGTTTTGTCAATGAGTTGTATTGGCAGCACCATGTTTCATCATCTGTGATAATAATTTTGGAAAAATGTGAATTGTGGCAAGCTGTTTTAATGATACCCTGAGCATGATAAATGCATGCCTTTTTTGTTTCTCAGTGAGCGAGTATGGAACAAAGCAGAAACAGATCTTATGTTTGTTCAAATGATTATGCAAAACTGTCGACAGAGTCCTTTGACACACCCAACTCCTCTGACAACATTCTTTAGTTCATGTTCGGATCCTCTCCTAATATTTGTCGCACTTTATCAATGTTACTCTCCATAGTCGATGTCTTTGGATGACCAGTTTTCGAATTTTTTTCAATTGACTCCGAGCCATCTTTGAATCAACGAAACCAGTCATAAACTTGTAGGCTTATGCAATCATCCCCACATACTTGTTTCAGTAACTTAAATGTTTGTACTAATGCAGAATTTAATGTTGACACATTGCACCATTGCAATTTTCTGGTGAGGGTCACGAAATAACCCTTACATTTCACACCAAACAGAGGATTGTTATGAACTGATTCAAATCTAATTGCCCATGATTGATAATATAATGTTCAAAATTTTGAATTTGACTGTTAATGCTAGTTGCATCATCTAGTTATTTTTCTAGAGCAAAAGTTCAGTTTCATTTTAAACAACCCGTATAGATCGAGCTTTTACAGGACAGAAAAATTTCTTTATATACATATATAAGAAGCCAAGCATATCAAATAGTTCAAAATAAACAAGAAGTTTTAGCATAAAGTCCAAAGAAAATAATATATTAAGCACTTTCAAGTAGTCAATCATTAGAATCTAGAATTAAAATACAAAAGTTTTGATGAGGTTTATCACAGTCCAGAAAAAACATCAATAAATATTAACATAAAACAGAATAATTTGATTTACAATAAACCTTAAAAGCTTAATAAACTGTTCTTTAGACTTCTTGACTTGTTTAACTTGAATTAAACGAAATCCTTTTAGTACAGGTCAAATTATAGAAAACGTTAGCACGAACAATTGAACATACTACACGCTGGTTTTTTTGAAGGATTATTTGTATATTACTCCGGTGTGTGTCGATTATTTAAATTATATAAGTTTCAAACTTTAAATAAAAGTATGAAATATAGGCAATAACAACAACAACAATTGTTGGTTTATGATATATCAATGTAAAATACAAGAATCTATTCCTGATTAACTGATCAGCTTAATTGTTATATTTATAATAACCGTAATACAGAAGTTAATATACCTGAAAATTTTCATTTGTACAATGTAATTATTTTGTATAATAGAACCTACTCAAAGACACTTAATATAAACGAATAATTTATAATAATTATTGAAATTACCACAGCATGGTGTTTGGTAAATTAATAATTTCTTTGGAGATATCCAAACAAATTATTTCATATCTAATTATTAACTTAGCCTTATTATAACCTGATAATTTGGCAGATTGACAGATTTAATCAAATAATAAATTGCTCTGTTATCAAGAATACTTTTCATATTTTACAATGAAACTTATATAATGTTTTGGTAATGCCAATTTTTTTTTTTTACACTTAAAAGAAAAGTGATTAACATTTCATTGAAGAAGTACATTCATTCACATATCCTACACTACTCATTCAAACGCAAGAATTTCCTACAGGCAAGTCAGAACGTGCTTTCGTATTTAGGTCATTCGGTTTAACTCGATTCACACAGATCTTGAAATCGGTATACTTAATACACTCGAAATTAACAATGTATAAAGATTATACATTTATCGTTATTTTAAACACCCAGAGAATTCCGAAAGATTTCCATACGTTGTGTAATAACGTGTACTATTTTGTAGCGTTACCTTACATAATTACGGATAGCTACAAGCAACAATTATTAATCTTTTGCATTATTTACTAACAATAAACAAACAATTTTGCTGTGTTCTATACAAAAAGTTTTACAATTTTAAAGGAAAAGTCATTACAAAAACCTGTAATTTGATCAGTATATATGTTATAATTATATTGTGTATAACATATTGTAAATTATAATAGTATAATTATATTATATCACTATAACTTATAATGGGGGAGTTAACTTCTATTAATCAGAATGAATATATTCTATATAATTATAAATTTGAACATATTATTCTTGATTAAACTCAATATTTAATAAATATGAATAGAGTTTTATTAATTAAACATGCTTAAAATTAGAATTAACTGTAAGAAGAATCAGTTATTAGGCGAGATTTTATAGAAATCTTATGAAATTGACTACTTTTAAGTAAGATTGACCACGTGGTGGGAAAGCACACTTACAGCTTTTGTTTTCTTACGAAAGACTTCTGCTAAATCGTTATGTTTTTGCTTTAAATACTCGTAAATCAGAGAATCTACAGCCGAGCTGTCAGCTTTCACGGACATCTTTTAATATAAATTTTTGTAAATTACACCAAACTCACAGAAAACGTGAAAACATGAACGATCCGATAAACGTACCGTCGCACTCGTTTGTAAAGTGTTGCCAGATGTGAAAAAATATTTTTGGGTTGAAAAGTTTTATGATGCTGGCGTGTAAAAATGACATAAAAAGATACAGTGTTTCGACAAAACGGATACGTCTATAACTATCGACTCGAAATTAATACAAATTTATTGTATAACATTTTTCCCCAGTGGACACTTAGATGACCTTTCAGCAAGTTATGAGTTCTGCCAGGACCACGATGAAATGGTCGGGGATGAGGGGCGGCTACCAACATATCCGGATAGACCATTCCCGAAACATTCCTGCAGTTATTTCCACCCGTCCGGTTTCCATCTCTGATCCTCCAAAACACCGGCCGGATGGCCGAGCGGTCAAGGTAGCAGCCTACCGCTATGGGGGACCCGGGATCGAATCCGGACGGGTCAAGGAATCCCCAGGAATTTTTCGGGAAGGTGGTCCGTTTGGATATGTCGGACCCCGTCCCTCACCACCCGGTCGCCCCATTGTGGGTCTGGCCGAACCCATAATGGGCCCGCTATAAGAGGCCTTCTTAGTGCCCACAGGGCGGAAGAGTATTAAAAAAAAAAAAAAAAAAAAAAACACAAGTAAAATGGCAAAGCCATTCTTGGGACNTTGAAGAAGTACATTCATTCACATATCCTACACTACTCATTCAAACGCAAGAATTTCCTACAGGCAAGTCAGAACGTGCTTTCGTATTTAGGTCATTCGGTTTAACTCGATTCACACAGATCTTGAAATCGGTATACTTAATACACTCGAAATTAACAATGTATAAAGATTATACATTTATCGTTATTTTAAACACCCAGAGAATTCCGAAAGATTTCCATACGTTGTGTAATAACGTGTACTATTTTGTAGCGTTACCTTACATAATTACGGATAGCTACAAGCAACAATTATTAATCTTTTGCATTATTTACTAACAATAAACAAACAATTTTGCTGTGTTCTATACAAAAAGTTTTACAATTTTAAAGGAAAAGTCATTACAAAAACCTGTAATTTGATCAGTATATATGTTATAATTATATTGTGTATAACATATTGTAAATTATAATAGTATAATTATATTATATCACTATAACTTATAATGGGGGAGTTAACTTCTATTAATCAGAATGAATATATTCTATATAATTATAAATTTGAACATATTATTCTTGATTAAACTCAATATTTAATAAATATGAATAGAGTTTTATTAATTAAACATGCTTAAAATTAGAATTAACTGTAAGAAGAATCAGTTATTAGGCGAGATTTTATAGAAATCTTATGAAATTGACTACTTTTAAGTAAGATTGACCACGTGGTGGGAAAGCACACTTACAGCTTTTGTTTTCTTACGAAAGACTTCTGCTAAATCATTATGTTTTTGCTTTAAATACTCGTAAATTAGAGAATCTACAGCCGAGCTGTCAGCTTTCACGGACATCTTTTAATATAAATTTTTGTAAATTACACCAAACTCACAGAAAACGTGAAAACATGAACGATCCGATAAACGTACCGTCGCACTCGTTTGTAAAGTGTTGCCAGATGTGAAAAAATATTTATATTTCATTAATTTAAAATAAGTATTATTTTATTATAATTTATACTAAATAATAAATATTTATTTTTAAGAAATATTTTAACATGCAAGAAACTTTATGTGACTTTTGTTTTTTTTTATTAAACTCTTTCCGCCCTGTGAGCACTAAGAGGGCCTCTTTAAGAAAGTCCATTATGGGTTCGGCAATGGCCACAATGGGGCGGTTGAACAGTGAGGTACGGGGTCCGATATATCCAAAAAATCCTGGGGAGTTTTTGACCCGTCCGGACACGATCCCGGGTCCCCCAGAGCGATAGGATGCCACCTTGACCACTCGGCCATCCGGCCGTCTTATGTGACATGCTACGTGAAATTATTCTTTCCAATCTGTAGCCACCGACCGGGTCTTTTTCAGGTTTATTTTAGTTTCGGCCAGGCTCCGAGTAGCGAGACATTAAGAAGACACCAACCCTCGAAAAATCCTTGCAGTTTCTTTCGACTGCTTGGATTCAATCCTGGATAACCCAGAGCAGTAGGCCGCCATATATACACTGTACTGAATTTCACCTGAAACTTGCCAGATCCAGACCAGTTCCCTAACTGGGGGGTCTGTCTGAATATGTCAGACTCCATTCCTAACCATCTGAACACTCCATTATGGGCCTGATAGAACCCATAATCGGCTTGCAAAAAAGGCTTAATTATTGCCCACAGGACAGAAAGAGCTAAAAAAAGTGTGTATGGGTAAAGCAAGATTTCCTTCACTCTGTTTGAAGCTTAATACCTTCTATGATTTTTGTCGAAAATATCTGAAATTTTGCAAAAAAGTTTGTTAATTAGTGAAATTGATGCTGTTAAATTTTCCTGATTAATCAATATTTATCAGACTGCGCGCCCATTTAGTCATTATTCATAATGACTGAGCATTATGAATAATGACCTATTAGTCACTTGATTCATAACGTATATGTTCTAATATCCATTAATTTAAATGAATATTGGATAATTTAATATGTCTATCGAACAATCTTATTGTCTGATAAAAGAAGATTGTACACGTAACGAAATCGATATTAAAATCGATATATATTATAAAACGCTTTCCAGAAACTGGACTGCTTCTCTCCGCAATTTTAATTTTGTTCTATGAAACCAAGAAAAATACAACAACAAAAAAGAACGAAATTTATCAGATTGGTTCCTAAATTTCCTTTTTTTTTTTCCTTTCTGCACTCGTTATTATCAGAAAATTTAGTTAGTTGATAAAACGAATCGAGTCCATACGTATAACAATGGCCTCTGTACACAAGATATGTTTGGATTATATTTTAGCTCCAATTCTAAATTCCGCTAAAGTTTACGGATTGGATTTCTGTATTCGATGCGAGTGCATGGAAAGTGGAAGAAACACAAACAAAAACAATTACATTTCGACGTTATTCATAATATATAGCGGGTTCATCGAAGTGTTTTTATGGGTACTGGCCATTCTTCACATCATTAGGTTATATGACATGAATTTATATGTTTTACGCATGACTTACATGTATAACGATTATGCTGTTCCAGCAGCAGTTGCACTCGCTTTTCTATCTGTTTATTTCTCTGTCCAATTCAGCATTCTGAAGAAGAGCAAGATTACACTTCATTGCGTAATTAGTAGTTACGAAGGAGAATGGAAAATCATTGAGCAAATACAAGTTTATTTGATTACTAGTCTTTCGGGTTTATTTTTTGTATCCATGGTACTCAATATAATGGCTGCAATTGCGTATTATCCAACAATAAAGTCACTAAACGGTACAGACACGGAAGCCTTCGTTTGTGTCTTCATTTACTCACTTTGGCTATTATTTGTAGCAGGACAAACCGTATCGTTGCTATTAATATGCACAATATTATTGATTATTTTGGGCAAAAGATTTATAAATTTGTCCGCAGATCTATTGAAATTAAACGTGAAGAAGCTTTTTTCCTTAGAACTGAGTTTTAGAACAAATGCAGTTAATGCAATAATGTGGAAACATCAAGAACTTTGGAACTACCTCGAAATGATTAACGAAAAATGGAATATTCTCATACCATTTATATACACTCATTTTATGTATGCTACGTGTTTTCTTCTGTATGCCGCATTATTTGTGAACATGAAAATGATTCTGAAGATTTCTTTTGCAATCATTGCTCTCGTATTCCTTTCAGGATTGATTTTAGTAAGTTGGAGTTTATCGTTCTTTACGACATTGGTAAGTATTCAATACTCGATAAGTGTTTGAAAAATTTTATATTTTAACTATTATAAAATGACAAAACGCTTAATTTTGACGATAGGGTAAGTTTTATAAGAAACTGTAAAAACTAATACAAGTAAAATTGTTGTTACATCTGATCCTACTAGAGACTTTATCTCTCCATCGCTTTCACGTTTAATCAGTAAAATTTAATAGTATTAATCCCCCTAACAAGGAAACCTACCTGCAAAATTTCATAAATTTTCGAGAAAAACTACAAAAGTTATTAAACTCTCAACAAAATCGAGCGAAAGGAGAAAAGAGAACATTCTGAAAAAAGAAAATTTAAAAACTAAGTACAAATTGTAAGTAGCAATATGATTGGTATAGCTATTGAAGCAGTAAAAAAAACTGAAAAAATGACGAGTGTCAATGAAGATTCACACAATTGGAAAACAAGAGTTTCTTCGAAAATGAATAGCACAAAGAACAAGATTAATTCACATATATACTACTTGTTTTTGAACCAAACATACCATAGCAAAAACACTAATATTTAAAATGTCAAAAGATACAGAGTGAAAGACATCCAAACAGAAATATTCTATCAAAACGAGAAATTCAATTTAAGATATTCTATGGAGAAATTTACTAGGAAACATGGAAAAGAAGACATGCAGATTGGTTGTCCTCTTTCGTCGTGCATTCGATTCTTTTCTTGACAGAAGTAATTTGGAATGGTGAATATGAAATCAGGAAAGTGATTTCATGAAACAACGTTCAAAATTTCAAGTGTTTGAATTACTCTCGAAAACTTCTTCGAATTTCAGTTATAAATATACAATTAATATTAATTGTGATCAGTATGATAAATTAACATTTTTTTATTTATGCATTTAACTGTAACTGTTTATTATTTAACAGAAATAACTCATTGTATGAAAGGACGTATAATAATATTTTTTCTTTTTCAGATGTACGACAGCTTCATAAATATTGAAAAGATTTCTTCTGTGGCTTTTCCTCTAGAGTTTAAGTTCAAGGTAACGTTTATTGTTTAAATTTCATTTATTATTTAGTTTGAAGTAAAATTTTTGTTTCAGATGGACGATTTCATGAAGAGATTTGGAAAGAATCCAATTGGTATATCCATTGGTGGATTCTTTTATATCAAGAGAAATTTTGTTATCAGAGTAAGTATTGAACACCACTAATACAGGGCAATATACATTCCTTATCATAAGTAGTGGTGCAATGAAATTTTATCAAACATAAGAAAAACTAACTTTTTATCGAAAATTAGTAAGAATTTATTTACGTTTAATTTCAATTTTAGGTAATTAGCGGCTTATACTCCATATTGTCTTCACTTGTGCAAATTAGTGGAGTATTGGAACGAGAAAATAAGTGTCTTGTGCAGTACAGAAACAGCACAAGATCCAGCACATAATGCAACTGTTACGTATTAAATTAATGATTTGATTAAAATAAGAAAATTGCCAGATTTCATATTCCTATAGATTATTACGAGGCTTATAAGGATAAAATTCAGGGGAGGACTCTGTTAAGACCAGTGAACATAACACTTTGTCAGAAGAAAGTAACGACATTGATGAACGATAATGATGTTTATAGTGATAATTCGTTGGGTAACAGGTACGGGTGAAATAACTGCTTCACGTGGTCATAGCAATGGCTCTGATATATCCACACGTGACATGAATATCCTTTCACAACAGTCCCAGGCCATTGTGTCCAAAATCAGTAAACAACAGAAACAGTAACAGAAGGACTAGTTTTCGGCGTGCCAAGAAAACAGTGCAAGTTCTGCTGTCATCAGTGTGATCGAAACATTAAAAACCGATGTATGAAATTGATACATTCATACTTGTAGAAATACAAGTGGACCAATCTGCAAAAATTACTGAGTGTTACTTCAACAGATTGTGTACTTTTGAACCGTAATACATCCTTACTTTTATTTCAAAATTTATATGCACACATTGTAAGCAAATGAAAAAAGTTGGTCCGTCTAGAGCAACCAGTAGTTAAGTGTGAGTTTATTTCACTAGCGCAATTAAGGGTTATCTCGAAACTAAGCACCATGGACTCGATGTCAGTACCAAGTTTTGTCGTGATCTGTCACGTGTAATCTGCGTAATTTAAGATTTAAGTGTAAAGAAATTGTTTTTGCACGATCGATTATGCAAATTACATCTTTACGTTCGAGGTTAACCATTTTTTTAATGTAAAAATTAATTTAAAATTGTAAATAAAATGTACAAACATAGTGATATTTAAGATTATTAGTAGATGTTTCTGACATTATAAACTAATTTATATTGCGTAGACATGCAAAATAATCAAAAAAACAAAAGGTTTGTTTATGCGTGAACCGTTCGGCATTTGTTTTTTTCGTATTGTTAGTACAGACACGTTGTTTTAGTGAAAATAACAAATGGACCAAGAGACTGAAGAAGAATATGCAAATTATGTTAGAAGGCTACGACGACTGTTTTATCGATGTGCAGCGATTCTTATTTACTACTACCTCCTTTCACTCTTCATTTTTCCTGACGACATGACAACTTATTACATTCGAAAAGTTTTGGGATTGTATCTATTTCTCTTATTTTTGAGCCACTTCATTCTATTTATTCTATATGCATGTGTAAAGATACACGAGTGGTTGAGTATTTTAGAAAGTTAAACGAGTACGTGTTGCTACGATTCCGAAGTTTCTTCATTGATATTAAAATCGAGAAAACATCAAACGAAATCTTTAGTGATTCGAGCGGATTGTTCCATTTTCTACATGAAAATATCTTGTTAACAATTTTTAATTATTTATAAAATATTCTGAATAAATATTATCGTCTTAATCTCTGCGTTATTTATGACTAAGTTTAAAGTTCTTTTCTCAATTAACTGCATTTATTTCTGAGAAAAGTATTTTATTACTGTCTCTGCTTATTAATACGTCTACTAGAAATATTCATTCATTTTTTCGTCAATGAATATCTCTAATTCTTAATTCGACGTAAAACTTCTGTCCGAACTGTCATATGTGCATGTTAACTCGTTCGTTTAGATCGAAGTGTCTTTACCCTATCGACCGAGAACAATACTAATTTGGACAATATTGTTTTCTTTTTACAGTAACACTTTTTCGGGTGACACCTTACCTTTTTTTCTCTTATCTTATAAATTACGATCTAGTTTCAGGGATTTAAACGTTGGGCTACAAGTAGCAGATTGAGATAATTGTAGGGCTATAGGCTATTACGTTTTGGCAACACTACTTCTGGACTACGTCTTAAAATATTTGATCTACATTTCCACGAATTCTGCGTTACATTTTATTAAACCTACCTGTGAGGTTCTCGCAGAACACGTGCTTTTTACCTGAAGTTTATTTATATTATTACTGTTATTAGTTATTAATTAATTAACGGAAGTAGCATTCTGTATTTATAGCCATGTTTCGTTTACTTAATAAATTACATCGGTTACTTGGCATTTGGCATTATATAC